GTCTGTGCCCTACCCAAGGACCAATACACTGATTAAAATGTGAGCAATGTCAGTCTCACACCTTCCACCAGCCAATCACTCTTAGCTTGGTTCTGCTTGTATTGCTCTTCTGCTTATTGGTTCTTCGATATCTCCATATAGGGTCAACCACACAGAGGTTAACTTTTTGATACGGAAGCATTCCTACAGGGTAAAGGTGAAGGTAGCAGAAAGGAATATCTGCCTGCCTGGCTCTTTATTTTGGCAAGGCTAAGCACATTCTATATACTTTCAGCATTGTGATATCAAAGAAAGCAAGAACACGCTGGAAGGGAGGAAGCAGTAGAGATTTTTTTTTTTAAAAAAAAACCACGATATCTCTCATATGTCTTCACAGGATATGAGTTGGACCGCTACAATCAGATTTTTGTATTTTTCAGGCCACTATTATTTTTTTTAAATTCCTACCTCTCCTCCCCCTCTCCAAAATCTTTTCTCTATAGTGCCCTGCAGTTCTTCCATAGTAAATGGGAATGTGTGGGATTGCAGCTTTAATTTAGTTCAGAAGGCTGGATTGCATTGATGAGCAGATCTCCATGGGGCAGTGAGCCAATTTTCCTAAAAGCCTGTTAAGCAGTGGTGGAGAGCCAATTGTGGACTGACAAACTGCAAGAAGGTTTAGCATCACAAGGTTATGATTTAGCAAATAACCCTTACAGAATGTTAACTGAATCATAACTCTTTATTGTGGCTACATGAATTAATGAGTGCATCTCAGTATTTCCAAAATCTCCAGATGAAGTACAAGATAACAGGCAGATCAGTAAAAATTGTCACTGGATTAAGTCCAGATTAAGTTTGTTGAACTTGGCCACCATTGGGGGCATGACATAAATTCTATTGCTTCAAGTGAAGATAGGTAATATACTTGACATACTTGATAGAGAAGCAGGATAGGGCAGGATAGTCCGTGTCCGGAGCATCACCTGCAGGTGACACACTCTGCCCTGGAGGCTGAGTCAAACTGCTGGAGAACTTAGTAAATATAACAGTGTCATAGCCAGTGGTAGGCCCTCCAAATACAGGTAATTCTCAACTTGCAGCCATTAGTTTAACGTTTGAAGCTACAACATCACTGAAAAAAGTGACTTTGGATTGTTCTTCATACAACCGCGGCAGCCTCCCCATGAATATGTGGTAAAAATTTGGATGCTTGGCAATTGGTTCATATTTATGATGGTTGCAGTGTCCCAGGATCATGTGATTCCCTTTTGCGACCTTCTGACAAGTTGGTTTCACTTAACAACCATGTTACTAACTTAACAGCTGCACTGATTCACTTAACAACTGTGGCAAGAAAGGTTGTCAAATGGAGAAAACTCACTTTAACAACTGTCTCCCTTATCAACAGAAATTTTGGCCTCAATTATTTATTATTTTATTTTATTTATTAAATTTGTATACCGCCCTTCTCCCGAAGGACTCAGGGCGGTGAACAGCCAAAATTAAAATACATACAGTATAAAAATTAAAATAAATTAAAACAGAATTAAATCAGTTTGGCTTCCCCAAATTTTAAAACCCTTTACCCATAAAATAGCCCATTAAAATTTTAAGCCAGCCCGGCTTGCTGAAATAAGGTCTTCAACGCTCGGCGGAAAGTACAGAGGTGCGGGATCAGTCGTATTCCTGGGGGTAGCTCGTTCCAGAGGGCGGGTGCCCCCACAGAGAAGGCTCTCCCCCTGGGGGTCGTCAGTCGACATTGCTTGACCGACGGCACCCTGAGGAGACCCTCTTTGTGGGAGCGGATTGGCCGGTGGGAGGTTATCCGTGGCAGAAGGTGGTCTCGTAAATAAATTTATAATAATAATAAATATAAAAATAAATATAAATAATAAATTTATAGTAATATATAAATAATAAAATAAATCTCGTAAATAAATCGTAAATTGTGATCGTAAGTCAAGGACTACCTGTAGAATGTTCTGGAAAAGGATTGACACAGTTGAGAGCAATTTGTGTTATCCAAGGGGGTTTCCTGCTCCTCAGCTCCTATGTGGAGTTGGCACAACTGACTCCATGCTAAATCAGGAGGTTGAAATAACGTAAGGAATTGTATGCATGAAAAGTAATAAGCTTATTTCCAGCACCTTCACATACTACTCCTGGTCACCAACAGCATCTAAGAGATTTCTGAAGCGATAGTTCACTCATCGCATAAATCATTTCTCTTCTGTGAGTAAGTCATTTCACTTACGCAGCCAACCTTGATGTAAGGATTGTGTTTAAGTGCAATTTAGTCTTGGTCCTACCACCATCAAAGTAGTTGCTTAATTTATTTTCATTGAACTTCTAAAAAAAACCCCAGCCTTCAAATTTCATTATCCTCACCAATTAAAATTGCCTTTTCTTCTCCAACAGATTTTCCCATGCATATTTTTGGATTTTGCCATTGGTGTTTGCAAGTGTAGAATATGTGTTTTAGGGGAACTGAATCCTAGAAACAGGAAGGCCAGGCCAGGCCATGCTATACATCAAAGACCAAGAAATAGGGGCCTTTATTCCTATTGTTTTGCAAACAGCATTCCTTTGGAGATGCTTGGTCATTATTTTTTCCCTTACAGAATGAACTGGGTTGAAATTCAGCAGCTGGTCAGATTCCTTAGGTAGCAACAACTTTGTGGTTCTGTAACTCCCTCCCCCTTTCTTTTACGCCTGGGTATCTGCATTTTAGCCGCAAGGCAGGAACACCCCCCCCTCCCATTGCTCAGGCAGAGGTCATTTGATTGCATAATCCTTCCCATTCTTGATGTGGAAACACGAACCAGAGAAGCATGTTTTGCCACTTGCTCTGCCAGCTGTGCCAGTTCCTCCAAGTTCACAGCCACGCTAGCCGTTCCTGTCTGGAGAAACCTCTCCTCTATCCACTCCCCTTGGATGTATGTTCTAAGTAGCATGTAACTTCTAGCCTGGTCATCTAAATTCGTAGGATTTTATAAGAGGGAGGGCCTATTGATTAAGCAAACGTAAATTTGCTGAGATCAGGCAACCTATTTTTGACTCCAAGAACAACTGCGAGAGCCCTGCCTCTACAAATTCAGGAAGTAAGGCGGGATGGAAATAGCCAAGAATAATCAGAAGATGATTTGTACTATTTTACTTACTGTGGATCAGGGGTGTCAAATTTGATTTCATTGAGGGTCGCATCAGGGTTGTGTTTGACCTCGGGGGGGGGGCTGGAGTAGGCGTGGCCAGGGTGGGCCAGCACACCGTCACTCGTGTCGGGGGCACCTGTAGTTGCCTGAGCACTCTGCCAGAGAAAACTGGCTCCCGAGCTCTGTTTTGTCTGGGACAGCCTCCTGCAACCCTCTGCCAGCGAAAACGGAGCTCGGGAGGGCCATGTGCGTTTTTGCTGGCAGAGGCACCGTGGGCCAGTCCTTCGCTGTTTCCAGGGCAGCCCTGTGGGCCAGATCTAAGCACTCTGCAGGCCGGATCCGGCCCCCAGGCCTTGAGTTTGACACCCCTGCTGTTGATAGTATGGTGTGGTGTCAAATGATCTTCACAATTAGTAGAAAATTGGGTCTGTGGGTGAATCTTATCTTTGCAATCCTGAGTATAAAGTAGACATAGACTGGATGCTGAGGATTCCTTGGTACTTGCTCCAAATCACACTAACATAGGTCAGATGTACAGGTAGTCTTGGCTTACAGCAGTTTGTTTAGCGACCAGAGTTACAATAACATTGAAAAAAGTGACTTGTTAATGAACAAAGTTTAAGAACTATATGTTTATATGAGTACTAATATTATTGCAAAGTGACGGAAGATGTTTGGAACCAGTGATGTCATATATGTGTCCAATGTTTTTTAATTTTGTACTATTAATAAAAAACTTTTTTTAAAAACGGACTTGTGACCGTTTTTCACACTTGTGACCTTTGTGACATCCCCATGGTCATGTGATCAACATTCAGGTGCTTGGCAATTGACTCATATTTATGACAGATGCCGTGTCCTGGGGTCACGTGATCCTCTTTTGCGACTTTCTGACAAGCAAAGCCAGATTTACTGAACAACAGTTTGTCTAATTTAACAATTACTGTGTTTCACTTAACTACTGTGGCAAGAAAGGTCGTAAAATGGGGCAAACTCACTTTCTGATGTTTCACTTAACATCAGAAATTTTGGGCTCAATTGTGTTCGTAAGTCGAGGACTACATGTATTGGGTTACAATTCCCTTGATTTCTAGTTAGAGAAATCTTAATAAATCTGGAAATGTGTTTCTCTACAAGGCTGGAGAAAGCAGTTGTGGCTGATCAGAGGGCTCTGTTTTGGGTTTTTCTTTTTCTTTTTTTCTTTCTTTTTTGCATGCTGGTAGGTTGAATTATAATTACTACCTGCCAAACAAGACCTTAATGAATAAATATTTATAATATGCATTCAGAATTCTGAACTGCATAGCCTGCTTGGCAAGGCAAGCCAGAGTCTTCCAACAGAGCTCATTTTATTACATTGCTGTCAGTCTTGATCCCACCCTAATTGTGATCTGAAGAACAGGAGGCTGTCTTTCAACAGAAGAGAGATTTCCTTGTTAAGCTGTCTGGCAGATGATATACATCGCTGTGTATATTGACTGTAAGGTAGTTTCTTCTTCATGATTAGTGCGTACATACCTTGATTCTGAGCCATTGAAATGGTTGCAAGGGATGTGCAAGCACATGAAAAGGGAGGGGGCAGCACACTAGGTCTCCTCCCTCCCCCCCTGCTGTTCAACAATAACAGTATCCATGGCCTCTACCCGTTCCGGTAATAAGTGCAGAGACAATGACAAAGAGATCTTCAGAGGCTGATTTGAGTCATAGGCTTAGATCTTGTACAAGGGCAACTTCCAATCCTCCCTCCCTCCCTCCCTCCCTCCCTCTCTCTCTCTCTCTCTCTCTCTCTCTCTCTCTCTCTCCTCCTTCCCTCCTCCTCCTCTCTCTCTCTAAACACAGTCCCTGCTGAAGAGCACATTTTGAATGTGTGATCTAAAAGCACCGGGAAATGCTCTCTGAAAGGAGCAGCTTCCATGATTATGGGGATAGGGAGCGTGATAGTACATAGAGGCGAAATATCTCCAGCCAATAAGAAAATTGAACCCTGGGGGTAGAACTGGAAGCCATTTGCTCTAAAATAAGGAAGATGATGGTGTTTGAGTGCTTTTTGCCAATCGGAGTTATTTTCTCCCACCAACCCCCACCCCGTCTCCTGTGGCTTTTAGCCACAATAAGGACCTTTCTTATTCTCCATGTCCTTCACCCTTTATAAAAAAATGGTGGAGAGGGTATTCTGTGGAATTGAGTCATCCAGAGTCTAAGGAATATCACTGGTGGATGAATGGAGCCTGGATAGCTGAGCAGACTAATGCATTGTAATTTAACTCCAGCTGCCTGCAATTACTGCGAGTTCAATTCTCACCAGGCTCAAGGTTGACTCAGCCTTCCATCCTTTCTAAGGTAGGTAAATTGAGGACCCAGTTTGTGGGGGCAATAAGCTGACTTTGTAAAAATATACAAAAGTATGAAGGCTATTGCTTAACGCATTGTTAAGCCGCCCTGAGTCTCCGGAGAAGGGCGGCATATAAATCAAATTTTTTTAAAAAAAGGTATCAGGAGCTCATGGAGAAACAGGTAGCTTTGTTTTGCTGCTGTTGTTCCTGGGTATTGTCTTTGCTGGCAGCAAAAGAGAATCAATTGGACTCCAGACAGAGGAAGCTGATTTCTATCGATCTAGCCCAGTATATTATCCACGTTGACCCATTTGTGGTTTGCCATGATTTCAGTCAAGACATTTTGTTTCATTTGCTCTCTAAGTTTTTATATACAGATGGCAGTAGTTTGCAGGCTTCTGCATGCAAAACGGGGGTGAAATCCAGCAGGTTCTGGAGAACCGGTAACGGAAATTTTGAGCAATTCGGAGAACCAGTAGTGGAAATTTTGAGTAGTTTGGAGAACTGGTAAATACCACCTCTGGCTGGCCCCAGAGTGGGGTGGGAATGGAGATTTTGCAATATCCTTCCCCCAGGGGGTGGGGTGGAAATGGTGATTTTGCAGTATTCTTCCCCTGCCACGTCCACCAAGCCACGCCCAGCCACGCCCACCAAGCCACGCCCACAGAACCGATAGTAAAAAAAAATTGGATTTCACCACTGATGCAAAACATATCCAATGCACCTGAGATAGAATCCTTCCCAACGTAAGAAGAACACCGGCTTAATAAGGATGATGTGGAGAAACACTTTGTACATATGTGCTCCTCAGCGTCTACCAAGGTTAAGTAGAAACTCACTTCTGAGTAACACAGGTGCGAGTGACCTTCAATTTTTATTTTCCTTGGTGAGGTAAACATCCTAAGAGAGCAAACAAAAGATTTCTATTGTCCCTCTTGTCAATTGTCCCTCTCAGTCAACATGGAGCAATTTGCCTATATTCTTAATAATGAACATTGGGTGCCTCCAGATGGAAGACTCCTAACATTTCCTAGTCCAAGTGTATTTGTGCAACTATAGATAGTCCCCATACAGCAGGGGTGTCAAACTCAAGGCCCATGGGCTGGATCCAGCTTGTGGGGTGCTTAGATCTGGCCCGCAGGGCCACCCTGAAAACAGTGAAGGACCAGTCCACTCTCTGCCAGCAAAAACGGGCTCCTAATCTCTGTTTTTGGCTGGGACGGCCTCCTGCAACCCTCTGCCAGCGAAACACGGCTTTCCGGAGCTCTGTTTTCACTGGGAGAGGGTTGCAGGAGGCTATCCCAGCTGAAAACAGAGCACTTGGGCCACAACACGTGCCCCTGATATGAGTGTTGTCAAGCCACGCCCACCCTGATCACACCCTGCCCCCCACCCCCAAGGTCAAACACAACCCTGATGCGGCCCTCAATGAAATTAAGTTTGACACCCCTGCCATACAGCAACCATAGTCAGAATCAGCAATTTGGTCTTTAAGTGAAATAGTCACTAAATGAAACCACGACTGCGCTTATGATTTTATGTCTGTTTTCTTTTGCAGAGCTGCAAAGGTCGCAAATGTGAGGATTGATTGCAAGATTACTTTTTTATCACTATCATAATTGTGAATGGTCACTAAACAAGGACTACAATATGCTGTCGTTTCCTCCTGGATAGATTTTCCATATAGATGCACCCGAGGAAAAGAAAAGAGAGAAGCAAAAAAGGGAAGAGTTAAAAATAGAGAAAGTAATATCTGCAGGGGCCTTCCTTTCAAATTCCATAAACGAAACAAGATGATTATAGAATGGATCCCCATCTGGAAGCTGTTATGCACATTGTTCAGCAACATAAAAATGGTGACCGCACTGCCTGCTCCTTAGTGAATTAGAGTCATATCCTGAAACAAGCAAAATAACAGCAAGAGTGGAAATTCAAGCTTGAAAACTGGAAGCAAAGCAGATGATTTTAATAATAGGATTCAAAATTCATCAGACCCGTTGGAGAACAGGACTTTCTTTATCTTCAAACTAATGTAGACAATCTAGTTTCATCCAGGGCAGTCTTTGTGATCCAAAAAGTCGTGTTTCAAAAATGATTCTAGAAAAGTGCTTCAGACTTTGCACAAACATGAATGGAGCACTTTTGTACTATTTATTAAATCTGAGTTTTGGGGAGCATCCCAAATTTCTGACAGAGAAACTTTTAAAAAGGCAGGCTGCTTTAATAAGTAATGGAGAAGCGCTGTGCTTGCCCTTGCATCAGGTCTGGCACTGGTGATGTTACCTAGTTTGGATAATGAAACCCCTGCAAGAAAACAGTCAAGCTGAGATTCTTCTTTCCCCTGTCACACTGTGTTATAAGAAGTTGCACTAGCTGAGATTCGTGTTTTCCTGTAGCACCGTGAAGCATACAGGCAAGTTTCAGTGCTTATCTATTTGATGAATTATAAATTTAGCCATTCAAAAGCATCTTTAAGTGCCGCCATCTTCCAGCACTGCTGAGCATACCCAGTTTTAAATGGACCTGAATTTGATACATGTCATGTTGATTGTTTTGAGATTTTATTTGGTTATTGGGCTACTATGAGCAAGGACACGTTTATTGGGGTTGCACATGGTTCAGAAATGATTCTGGAAAAGTGTTGAGCGCGTACTTCCGAACCGGTAGGGAAGGTAAGTAGATTTCACCCTAGAATAGAATAGAATAGAATAGAATAGAATAGAATAGAATAGAATAGAATAGAATAGAATAGAACAGAACAGAACAGAACAGAACAGAACAGAACAGAACAGAACAGAACAGAATTCTTTATTGGTTAAGTGTGATTGGACATAGAAGGAATTTGTCTCCTGTGAATAAGTTCTCAGTGTACATGCAAGCAACAAGTGATAATCATGATCATAACCATAAAATACAATAATTACAAATGATGATTTATGTCAGTCGGTCAATTATGTCAGATTTATATCAGAACTGTCAGTTGGTCTGCTTATTTCCAAGCCAGTAATTATGTGCCTCATCCGTCTCCCTCTTCACCAAAACCCAAACAAAACGAATGTGCTTGTGTTTTGTTTCTGGTGCTTGTCATATTGGCAAACTCAACTGCCTGCAAAACTGCTGATGCTGACTTGTTGGCTATTCTGATTTTGGCCTCCTTCCATAATCTTTGCAGCATGGTAGGATCTCTGGAGGTGGGAGACTCAGGGATGCGAGTCCTTCCCAGTGGGCAGAGAGAGACTGTGTCTTCAAGCACAAGTTACTCTTTCTGCAGCAGTGTATGCTGTTTTGAAGTTATGTTTTCATATCACAGATACGACATTAGGATAACAATAAGGTGGTCTTCAATTTACGACCCAGATTTCCCAACAGTCGGATGCCCTCCGCTGTCATAAACTTTGGGTGCTCAGCAATACGACCACATTTATGGCTGTATGTAGCATCCTGCAGTCATGTGACCATATTTTATGCAGCACTTCCTACCTGGTTTTGGCAAAATCGTGTCTATAGCGAAGCATCGGTTTGCTTAATGACCATGGCGTTGGCTTAACAACTGCCACGGAAAGTTGTAAAATTGGTTTTATGACCATCGTAACATACAACTGTAATGGACAGGTTCCATTACGGTTATATGTTGAGGACCACCTGTATTTTAAAACAGGTCACAATTGCAATGACTATCGTGTGATCAGTAGGAGCCCCATTTTGTTTCAATTTTGTCTGGAAGACCTCTTGGATTTGCAGGGAGTGGACCTTCTGTGTTGTTAATAATTTTCAGGCTTTGACCATTGCAGAACCTTTTTTTTCTCATTAGGTTGCTAGGTTCTGATTAGTCCTTGAGGTGGATCTGGGTAACAGCCAATTCACTGCACTCATGGAAAGAGACCAAGCTAGATATTCTTTTTAAAGCTTTTGGTACAATTTAATACAATTTTGCACCAAGCAGGGCCTCATCTCATTAAGTCTGCATAACGTGTCATCCTTTCTGCTCTAAAGCTATCATGATCTGCTGGCTTGTGTTGTTTTCCCACTTTTATGTTGCTCAGTAACATTCTTTCCCACCATTTAGATGCAAAGCATGTGCTCCGTTGCTGAGCTAGGCCTCTCTGTATAAATTGAGCGCCGCAGCACTACATGGGAACCCTGGTCTTACCAGGCTACCTCCTCAAAAAATCTGATTAATCTGATCATTCTAAAGAATGCTAAAGATCACTGTGGTAGTTTATTCATTCCTACCATCCATTGCACATGTTGAAATGGGTTTTCACCTACAGAAGCTTTAATGGGCTTATTATGGACCAGGAAGAAAGATGGCTTTACACATACTGTAGATCACTGCTTTCAGGGTTCTCTGATATAAAATTATTAGACTAATCTGTCCAATCAAGGTTTCCTCCCCCCCACTTTATTCCAAAATTGGGGTGTGGGGGGAATGTACTGACACAAACCCAGAATTTAATACACCGTGTGAAAATCCTGAGAACATAAAGGGTATCTATTCCACTGCACAGTTTTGTATGTGAGGAAGATTTTAATGAGAAATTTAACAATACAGCTCTAGATGTATAAAGAAGCTTACTTGGAAAAGGAGAGAATAGGATGAACAAAGAAAGGCAGGCAGTCATTTAAAATTCTGAATAAAAACAATAAAATCAGTATAATTAAACTGCTTGCCTATTGCCTTAAGTTTCAAAACAGACGGGTTCTGCAAAGAGTGTATTTTGAGAAACAGCATCTTTATCTGCCATTTAGATGCTTATCACTGAAATTTGTCCCGTGTTCTTTTTTAGAAATTACATGGAAAATTTCTAGCCATTATTTAGAAAAAGGAAATACTAAAGGAAAGCCCTTCCTTAGTTATGTTTGTTTATTTGTTTTTATAAAGTTTGTTCATTTTTAATTTATTTTTATTTTACTTATTTGTTTTGATAAATGTACAGATCATCCTACATATAGCAACTCTGGGCAGCCTAAGTTGAAAGCCACTCAAAACAATGTAGACAGGAAAAAGCTTGTTATACTTAAAGGGAATTGATGGCTGTTTTGCACAATCAAGTAATATATTGCACTTCTGATGTCAGAGATCCAGCCAGCAAATAAGAAATGTATCCAGTAGCTCAATCTACTAGCTAAATCAATTGAATGACAAAAGGTTTGGCTAGTGGACAATCTATCATATGAAAAGAGCTTAAGCTGAGGATTCATATCAAGAAAGAAAATAGGCATTTTAGTCTATTTGTTAGATGCATTGTTGAGTCATTGCAACATACAGAAATTTGTCAATTTTTTATCTCATTGGTAAATGTTATTATAAGCAGTCCTTGCTTAGCAACCACAATTGGAACCGGCAACTCAGTCATTATTAAGCAAAGTGGTCACTAAGTGAAACCATGACTGTGCTTATGACCTTACTTCAACTTCCTTTGGCTTTACAGATGTGTGAAGGTCATAAATGCGAGGATTGGTCTTAACATTACTTTTTCATCTCTGTTGTAACTGCGAACGGTTGTTAAATGAGGCAGTCGCTAAACAAGGACTACCTGTACAGCAAAAAGAGGCAATTGTTCCTCTTCCAAATGATCTAAAGGATCATTACAGCAGACAGCACATAACAATGGAACCACTGCTGTGGAAATTGTCTCTGTTCTTATCTTTTTATAATCAGCGTTCCTGATTATTCTTACCAGGAAGCCAGATGCAAAAAAATGGGCAGGGCATCTATTCTTTCAACAGCTGTAGAGAAGGAGGAATTCCAGCTAATGCCTCTTATCATGTAAGTGACACTTAACTGAAATCTATTCTTTTATACAAGTATTAATGATTGAGGGGGATATGGTACCCTATTATAAGGGGGAGAATCAAAGTACTGCTGAAATAAGCTATTGCTGATTAATAGTTCAGGTGTGCATGCATAAAACAAAAGGAAAGTTATTGGCATTGTAATGATTGATTACTGCAGACATACATCAGCAGAATGGAATAGCAAGGCTATTCTGAAGTTGCACTGCTTGGCTGTTTGCATAATAAGTACCGGTAATCCATGTTTAACTGAAGCAGGAGTTACTGAATTATCCCTGGGTTCACACACCACACCTACACCAAACCTTGCTTTTCCTGCCATATGAAGCCACAGATTAGCCAATCACATTTTAGCATGTTTTGGGCCCAGCTGCTCTATTTTTGCTTTAATTTACTGTCATCAACCCGAGGGGGGGGGGGGAAGGTGTTGATTAAGTACTGTACAGCTGACGATAGGTATATACAGTTGAGCTGAAACCATTAGCATTAATAAAATTGTCTGCTCTTCCCCATGATGTTTTTTTCAGTGGGATTCTGAGTTATGTTTTGCTTTTTACTGTAATGTACATGACACATTTCAAAAATAAGAGAAGGAAGCCGAGAGGAGGAACAAGATAGTTGACTAAAGGCATCTTTTAAAAAGTATGTTTTAAAATAGACATTGCTGGGGGGTGGGGTGGGGGGGGAAGTATGGTGTCACTTTTGCTTTTTAAAAATATATTCCTGGGAACCCTTGCATAGACCTGCAGGCAGAATGATATGATAATAGGCATCTGAAGAGCTAGTTTGGTCTAATAGTGAAGGTGAAATAATAGTGAAAGCCTAGAAATCAGATGACGGTGAATTCTAGTCCTGCCTTAGGCATGAAAGCCAGCTGGGTAACCTTGGGCCAGTCACTCACTCTCTCAACCCAACCCACCCCATAGAGTGGTTGTTGTGGGGAAAATAGGAGGAGGAAGGCATATTAGATAACTTCACCGTCTTGAATTATTTATAAAAAATCATTTTTTAAATGTACACTGAGAGCGTATGCACCGAAGACAAATTCCTTGTGTGTCCAATCACGCTTGGCCAATAAAGATATCCTATCCTATCCTATCCTATCCTATCCTATCCTATCCTATCCTACCCTACCCTACCCTACCCTACCCTACCCTATCCTATCCTATCCTACCCTATCCTATCCTATCCTATCCTATCCTTCTTTCTGTATTCTTTCTATTCTTTAACATGAGATATAAATAACTTCATAAATAGGATGTATTCTGTGGACTGAGTTTAGATAAAGGAACAATTTACTGAAGGTAAAAAGGATTGGATCTACCAGCCTTTCAGCCCATGTTGCAGCTGGGCTCCATCAGGTTGGTGCAGCTTTCCCCAATGGCTGGGAGTGTGAAAATAATAATAAACACTTCTGGAGCAAACCAGAGAAGATGGGCTTAGGCATCACGACTTCTGCACCTCTACTCTGCGGTCAGGCAAGTAAATAAAATTTGACAGTCTCCAAACAAACCATGCTTTACAAGCCACCAGACTCATTTATCCAGTTTTTCATCGGGTCCTGTTCTGAAGTAGGAAGATATTTTGTTTTCTGTATCTGTTTAAATATTTTAAAAA